GGTATATATTACAATTCTTCCCCCAAACCTCATCTTCCCTAGAAGCCTTGGCCGTTCATCTCTCAACACATTTCGGTTTCTTCTGTTCTACTTCGATTAACATAAGAAACAAATCGTATTTGTTTCCCCTTTTTTCCCCTGCTGATTGAAGAAGTCCGTTATATATTTCTTGAAGCTCTTCATCGGAGTTGCACAAGGTTTGCGTCCCTTCAATTTTATAGATTACATATTTTTTTTATTTTGCTTTTTTTTTTTGGGAAAAAATCTAACTCCGTTCCAACTTTTTTGTGTTCTATAAATGTTGAAAGGAGTTGTTGCATATGAATTGTCGACTGGTGGACGGGGCTTGCTCAATCGGATAGCTTACGACTCGGTTTAGACGACAAGCTTGAACGCCTTCTTCCTAAAATATGTTTGCATTATCAGGTTAGTTAATACATGTTATGATGTGCGTCCATATTATTACTTGTTCACCCATCAATTTTGTGCATGTTTCTGGAATTTATATGCCAATTTATGACAGAGATCCTCCCCTTCAATGTTTTTAGTTAAAAGAGTAATTGAAAGATAAGTATGTTCAAGAATGCTTCAAGTGTATAGGTATGGGGAGACAAACAGTAGAAAACTCAAGAGAACTAATTTACATTTTGTCTTGAATGTTGTTTACTTTCTAATTCTCTTCTTGCTTTATTTAGTTTATGTTTGAGGTTTTCATATGTCGAGAAGATGGTGGTTTATGTCTTTTGAGAATAACAAGAAACTTCCTTGAATTGATACTTTAAGTTTTTTAATTGGATCCAAAAGAAAAGTGATAGAATTGTCTTTGAATTCCTTGCAGGCATGCACTTTTTGTATATAAATAGGTTTTTGAATTCGTTTAAACATAAATTATAATGCAAAATTTTCATTCTTTAAATGTGTAGATGGCTATTTGTGTGAAATTTGAGTTCATTTCGATTGTGCTCGACACGTGGTGATATTTTCTTTTTGTTAAGCTTGTTATCGAAAAATATCTTTGTGGAATTTATGGTCGCAACAAACAATTTATAGTGGACTTGAGATCTTTGTCTTGTTTGGATTAATAACATAAAACTATTAATATTTATGAGAAATGCAAGCCTTACGAGAATCCACATTGGTCAGGTTACAATGCAATAAATTGAACTTGTTAATATGAAGCTTTATATCTCTGTTACTAATATCTCATTTGTACTTCATCGGCGAGTTACGCTTGTTATGAAATCTTGCACTTTATAATTTTAATGCCCTTTTGCAAATTGAATTAGTTTTTCTTTATTTCAATAGTTAATATTGAGCTGAATTTTGGTTTGATAAGACTATCATGGAAAGAAGTTTACGATGGACGGACTTTATTTTGCAGGCTCCCCCAAATTTTGGTAAATGGTAATCAAGAAGTTGCTTTTCATGATTTCTCCCATATTTGTATTTTAATCTCTAGAGTGTTCCAATCCTTGTCTTCGAATCCCTCTTTTTGTCTATCTGCATCATGTTTGATAAATATTTTATGATGAAATGACTTCTATATTTTAAAGGTGTACATAATTAAATGCTAATTTAAATAGATTTAGATTCTTTTAGCAGTACTATTTTATCTTTTCAGGTTCCTAGTATTTCAATATATAGAAAATGGAAGCTTAAAGGAGCATATATTCAGTAATTTTGTTATCGGTAGCATGACCATCAGACAAAGTTGTTATGCTTTAGAGTTCCGTAAGCAACGGGACTACAAATTTATTGTATTCTATCGTTGTTACTTTTTACTAACTTAAGTAATTTATTTTATTTTTTTCTTTGCGAACAAGTGACGGATAGTAAAGATAACTACAAGAAATAGAGGAAATACTTAGACTCCACACTATTTTTTCTTTTAAGATATTGTTGTATTTATTTATTTTTCTTAGGATCGAATAGTACGAGATAGGTAGTTAGTTGTCTTTGTTTTGTGAATTTGGTTCAATTGTATTCATGAGAATTGTTATTTTGTATCACTTTGATGTTCCACCGTGATATGATTGTATGAATATTTTTTTATTGATAAATGTTTGATAGACTTGTAATAATGGTGTTACAGCCTTGCAGGTTTTGTGAGAATTTCATTGATGTCGACAAAATTGATGGTGTCAAGATTCACCGAGCACTCTAATTTATTTTCGGTCATTTTCAGAAATTATTTAAGTACTTGATTGCTACCAATCAAATCCTTTTTTTTAGTATTTATTCAGACTTGGTAAATACTAACTTTGAGGACAACAAACATTGATCTTAAAACATCAACAATTTTCACCATCCATTTTTTGCTTCATGCTTTCTAACCAAAGATTGCAATGCATTAATCATTTCCAACAAGTCGGGAATCATCATCTGCTCCACAAACTTTGGCATCACACCAAAAAAAAAAATGATATTTATTAGCTTGCATAATTATGTATACAGACGACGAAAGAGAAAACGAAAATTCAAATGAAAATTTGAAATCATGCAGAAGAAATGATACGCAAAAGCATTATTAATATCCTAATTTGTGGGGGTAATATTGTAAATGATCACAATAATCAAACAATCCAACATACCTATCAGAAGATTGATAACGAAAGATTTAATCCCATGAACTTAGTCCCTCTTACCAAATATGAGTTCCTAGCTTTTACCATCTACCTCTACAGTGTCATGTGCAGTTGGATTTCGAATCCCATCTATTCCCATCCCTCCAACCAAAATAGGCCTAATGAGATTGTCGTGGATTTTAAATTCTTGCATTCGAAACAGATTGCATTTGTAAAAGTTTCAATTACATTAATTTTGTCGTGTATTCATTATGTAATGGATTACGTTAACATCGCAGTAGATTATGTTAATTTTCATCAATTCAGGTTCTTGAGCAGGCGAAGTGAGGAATGGGGTGGCTAGGTTGGGTGATCCCAGGGCCACTGGACATAACATTGGATTTGCATTTACAATAGTGGATCGATTCTTCGGGAGGAGAATTCAGAAGATCTCGGGAGGAGGTCGATCCGCCGACTGAGGGACTCAGCGTTGAAGGAATTTCAGTGGATTTCGATAAGTTTGTTGTGCATTATGTCAATACAATAGTGGATTACATTAATTTCACAGTGATTTTTACGGTAAATTCTTTGCATTTTCGATTAAGTCCTATTACTGTATTCGTAAAACTAAAAATTAGTGAATTTCATTTGCAGGTCCCCGTGGATGTAGGGTACAATTGTATCCGAACCACTTTAAAATTTGTGTCTTTTTATTACTGTTCCATTAACTGTTGCAACTCTTCGTAAAACAGTAGAACAACAGCTAAAACTGAATCTGGGATTTATTGGACACAAATTTATAATTAATTTGCACGAAATAATTCTAACAATTATTATTATTATTATTATTATTATTATTATTATTATTATTATTATTATTATTATTATTATTATTATTATTATTATTATTATTATTATTCTTATTATTGTTATTATTGTTATTATTATGATTATTGTTATTATTGTTATTATTGTTATTATTATTGTTATTATTATTATTATTATTATTATTATTATTATTATTATTATTATTATTATTATTATTATTATTATTATTATTATTATTATTATTATTATTATTGTTATTATTATTATTATTGTTATGATTATTATTATTGTTATGATTATTATTATGATTAACATTATAATTAGCATTACTATTATTAGGATTAACATTATAATTAGCATTACTATTATTAGGATTAACATTATAGTTAGTATTACTAGCATTGGCATTATGATTATTATCATTGTCATTAGCTGTCGATTTTTGAGTATTTTGATGTTTCTTCAGTTGTTGTTAATTTCCTTGTCTGGACTCTAATGGGTTTTTTATTCTACCAATGAAATATAAAACTTTAAAATATTAAATATTGCATTGACTTTTCATTTGATATTTTTGATGAAACTATTTAAATTATGTTTTAAGTTATGACATCCAATGAAAGTGGAAATATATTAAGATTATTATTATTATTTTTTAAATATCAAAATACAAAATAATTATATTAAGGGGTACGTATTACAAATGAAATTTTAAGGGGTAAATGTTACATAGAGTATATACTTCGGGGGTCCAAAGCGTATTTAACCCTAAATTAAATTCACTTGGTGACTAACTTATACCAATATTCACCGTTCCAAACTTAAATTTCAAGAAAACCTACGGATTAATATTCCCATTGGACAAGAACTCTTCATGCATTAGAATTCCCATGGAAGTCAAAGTAGTTACGTACTGATTAATAATTAATATTCCCATTCATGCATGTATATAATAATATATAAAGAGTACTCTGATTTTACAAACTTAAAGTAGGGCAAAAAAACAACAGAAGAAGACGATGGGAAACTGTTTGTGTGTGAAGCCAGCAACGAAGGATGGTATGACAATTCTCTTTACAAAAAAAATCTATTTTTTGCTTCTCGTTTATATACAGTTAAGCCTCTGTAAATCAATACAGTCGGAACTGGCAAAATTCTAACTAATAATCATCGAACTAATAATTTAGTACGTTTTCACCGATTCGGGACTTGGAGAAGTTAATATTTAAGCGAGGTTATTAATTTATCGAGATTCTACTGTATGTATGTATGTATGTATGTATGTATGTATGTATGTATGTATGTATGTATGTATGTATGTATGTATGTATGTACATTTTTGTGCTGAAATTATGTGCATCTACTATTTTTAGAAGTGACCACCTTGAATACAAGAGAGGCAGCACCTGCTCACTTCATGATCAAGATTGAATCTTTCTCCGCGCCGGCGATTACAAGTGGTATATTCTCTCTCCCTCTCTCCTTAATAAGCCACTAAATAAGCCAGAATAATAATAATAAAGAAGTAATGGAGGATGTTTGAATTTGTACAGGAGACTAATATTCAAATTTAATGGAAAAGATAGTGATTATATATCTGTAAATTTGGCTATGGCGGACACAACTTCTCTCCCTACAAACTGGGAAGTCAATGCTCTCTTCAGCGTCTTTCTCTTTAATCAGATTTCGGGCAATTATCTTTCTTCAACAGGTATTATATAATACTCACCTTTTTTTTTTCTCTTTTTAGTCATAAATTATTTGTTTACTTTAATTTCTAAGCACTATTTTTATAATATTATTGGCAGGAAGAACGCTTTGTTTCCAAGCAACAAAGTCCGAATGGGGAATTTCAAAATCTATCTCTAGAAAGGTTTTGTCTGATCCATCAAATGGATACATAATCGATGACAGCTGTGTGTTTGGTGCTGAAATTTTTGTGGTCAAAAGAGAAGTAGTCATTGAACGTGTGTTATTGACGAATGACAATACTTATTACAATCATGCTTTGGAGATTTCGGGTTTCTCCCAATTGCCCCAAAGATGGGTGTGTGAAGAATTTGATGCTGGAGGCCAAAAATGGTACAATTTTTCTGTTTGTCACAACTATTACCTTTTTTTTTTTTTGTGTTTAAATATTTTAATATATGTAAACGTAGGAAAATCCTTCTTTACCCAAAAGGAAATGCAGAAGGAACTGGCAGCCATGTTAGCATCTATTTGTACTATCTTGGTACCGAAAGAGTGCAGACATGTTTTACCGTATGCATGAAAACATGAAAAACCAGTTTGATGATAAAATAGACGATATTGTAAGTACTTACAATATTTCATTTCAAATGCTTGATGTTTCAAAACGGAAAGCGAAACCAAAAACCAATTCTTTTTCCTTGGTTTTTTTTTCTTTTTTTTTTTCCGTAGTTTTTAGTTACTGGTTTTCAGCTTCCAGCAGTAGTTGGGGAAGGCCTGTATACATTGATCTTGCAACTATTAATGATCCTAACAAAGGATTCATTGTCAGAGATTGTTTTCTTCTAAATATAGAAATCAACGTCAAAGCTGTTGCGCGAGTATCTTAATTAGTTACCAATTAAAAAGTTGGATTAGACGATTTTGTTGTGTGTATCAAACACAACTTTATATTTTCATGATATACGTATTTATTGCGTGATTACGATAGTACAATATTTGCATCAAACTTATAAATGATTGAATGCACATCAGAAACAGAGGCTTCGCCTGCACATTTTTTTTTTCTGAAATCGGAATCATTTTATAAATAATAGTGAACTGCATGAACCAGCACCTACTCACTCATTTCAACTTCATGATTTTCACTATTTTACTCATTATTTTCCCTAGAGAATAAGGGTACTCTTTTCTTCGATCTCGTATATAATTCTTTCCAAGTATAAATAAGTTATTTAGCTCAAATTTTGGAAGACTTCTTTATAAAATACGTTCGTAATTTATCTGGACACATTTGCACTATAAAGTGGTTGTCAGAAGCCCCCCACGTAAGGTACCTTCCTTTTAGAGAGCAAGTCTCTGCCCCGTATAACCAAGAGAGATCGCTAGTACCCGATAGAGCCCGCTAGCGCTAATAGTGACAACATCTCGATCCTTCGTAATTTACAAAGGATTGGGAGGAAGAAAATCAAAAAAAAAGGGGAAAACCAAAACAAGACCTTGTCTCATACCTCACTCCCCTTCTGCCAAACCGTCTCGACGGCCGCGGGCCCGTGATGGTGGCGGCGATTTGCTTATGGGGAGGCAATGGTAACCATTTGGGGGAAAGCAGAGGCAGACGACCAAAAACACGAATCAGCAGAAATTGTATATATCAAAAATTCTGCAGACCAGGAAATAGGTTTGCCCTCCGGCCAACGAATGTAGGCGGGAAGATTGGAGATGGACGAATATTTGCGGTCGGAGATTACAACTTAAAAGAAAAGAAAAAATCGTCAGGGCCCCACAGGATTGCCGTATCGCGGTCGTAGCAGGTGAAAAGAAATTGAGAAAGGAAAAAGATTTGTACTGCAAAAAGGGATAACCTAAAGGGCAAGTATGAATAACAGTCTTGAGGTACTAGGAAATCGTCATACCTATCTTGCCATTTTTAAATATATATTCTTCTATAGAGAAAACAACCAATTGACTTGATCTTCGGAGTGCTAACGCCAAAAACCTCCTCCTAATATTCTTTTTTTGCAGGTCTCTTGGGCTTGGAGTGGGCTTTCCTACTTTGGGCCTTCTTTCAGTGGTCCTTCAATGCATCACATATCTCAATTTCTCTATCGGACCATTTAGCTCAGATCAACTGGCAAAAGTTTGTAAATACAGGGGTTATGCTATTTACCCTAATACTAAATCTAATGTTGTGGCCTACGGGGGAACTTTGAACAATATATGTCCATAACCGTTATGGGCAAGTCGCAAATCAACCCATGGGATGTTACTTATTTGGTAATCCCTCCACTCCAAAATCACTTGTACCAAAAAGGACATCAACCCTACCAAAGACTAAAATGCTCGTTAATATCTAATTTACTCCAATTTCATTCCAAAAATCATAATTTAACCAATTTCACCTTGACCCCAATTCTAAATCATTATGCATATTAACCCCCAATAGCTCTTATTTAAGTTGTGGTGGAAAGTCGACATAAAAATCTACAACCTTTGATTTTTTTCTAATTTTTAGATTCATTTCGGATTATGCTCTATAAGTATTTTAAACAAGACCAGTGTATTTTTTGTTATTTCTTTTATCGAATAAATAGACCTACTTATGCCCAACTCGAGTTTTTGAATTTCAGAATCAAAACATACTTTTCACCCACATTTCTACTCAAAACCCTCGATGATTGTGTTTATTGTTTAATTACGGATTCTTGAGTCTATCTTTCATTTTGGTGTAGAAACAACTAATTGCGTCGGTAGGAAAGTCGAATACCTTAAGCCGTATGCCATTCTAAGATTTTAAGTTATCTAGCTCGTTTTGTCTTTGGAATTAATTGCGATGCTTTGACCAATCCGGCAACTTTGTAGGTGTGTTGTCTGAAAACCCTCACGAGACACAACTCGTCCTTTGGGGGTACCCAGGGTTTCAACGGCTTGTTGCATACGCTAAATGCAATCGTGTTTCCCTACGTTAGTGGTCTAGGTTTAGTTTTTTTTTGCTTTCGTCGTTTTTGTTTTTGGGTTGTTGTTGTTTTGTTTTGATTTACTCGGGACGAGTAAAGATCTAAGTTTGAGGGTGTGATAAGTGTTCATTTTGCTTTTCACTTATCAATTCTTCGAGTTTTGGTCTTCGTTCGTCCGAGTTTTCGGCTTTATTTGTATATATTATGTTGTTTTTCTTTTATTTATATTTTAGGTAAAGAGAAGCTATTTTTGCCGATTCGAAACGATTTTGGAAGCGAAGCCGAGAACCAAACCAAACACGTGCAAAAGTGCATTATCGCGGATTGTGGCAGTGTTTGGTATTTCAAGCATAACTTTTGCATACGACCTCCGATTGAGCTGATTCAAGTTGATTTAGAAATCTTACTTCAAGGGCTACAACTTTTCTGAAATCTACAATTGTCGAATTCGGGCTGAAAAAGGGTGAACAAAGTGTTTGAAGTTGATGAAGAGGCCAGATCGCGATCCAGAATCACCGGATCGCGATCTGGTGGCAAATTCCAGTAGCAGCGAAAAGTTGGGGCAGATCGCGATCCGCACTTCCTGGATCGCGATTTGGGAAGGCGGTGGGCAGTTTTCGAGGTTGCCAGATCGCGATCCAAGAAGCCCAGATCGCGATCTGGGCACATAAATCGAGACTAGATATTTTTCTTTGATTTTTCACTATAAATAGAAGGTCTCTTTTTCATTTTTCAATATCTCGACCATCTCTCGACTTCTTCTTCGGTTTTCTCTTCGGTGCCAGTTCTTCGCGGGAAGCTTCGACGAGGGTTTCGACTCGGGTTTTTCATAAGCTTTTCTTTACGTTTTGTTTATGATTTCTCGTGTTCTTCATTTTGATGCTATGTTTGTAATGAACTGAGCATTTTCTTTTAGGGGAAATGAAACCTTGTATATATTGATTTTGATTTCCAGATCTGTGATTTATTTGTCGTTCTTTGATTCTGTTTATGTTTTCCTGTATTAAATGCTTTCGATTGTTTGGCCAACAGTTGAATTGATTCTAAATGGGAATGAACTCGAGAGAGGATTTCTCGTTCGATTTTAGGAAAACATAGCTCGGGTTGTGGAAATGGAGACGTGATTCACCTCGGGTAGCCCTTAAGGACTTGACCTAAATGCTCTCTTAATATCAGGTTCTGAACGGAGACGTCGGACCTGTGGGTAGACTCTAACTACACTGGAGACGGGGGTTAGGGTATTTTAGTGTCTGGGTTAGCGAACGTAGAATTGATAATAGATTCGGATTTGTAGATCTTTATCGATAGTACACAGGTGGATTTTACCCTAGAAGCCATCACACGTCGGAATTCCTTGCTTGTTCTGGTTGACCGGTGTTTTTATTATTGTTTCCTTTTAGCTTCATTTCTCCCATCCATTCTTGATCGTCTAGATAAAGTTTAGGATACTATAATTACGGTACTTGGTAGATTTAGGAACTTAATTCCCTGTGGATCGATATCAGGAATTCACTATTCTACAAAACGCGATACTGTACACTTGCGGTTTTTCATACGTAGGTTTTACGCGTATCAAAACACTGTGTGAGAATTTCAACATCACACAAGGTTGGTTGCCTTGTGGCCACAGGCCCAGATCGACTATCCTAACCGGCCGTTAAGTCACGATAATTTAAATTTCTCCATTATTACTATAATGTCGAGGAATGGACAAAATCTGGTTAGGCAATTCATTTAGGTTAGGTTTGGATGCGGAGGCTTCTTCACCATGGAGATGCATGGTTCACTCGGCTTAAGGAATGCTTGAATGCTATAATTTTCTGTTGTCTATGATTGTTGCATGGCCAGCATGGGCTAGAAGAAATAAGGAGGTTAGAAGTGAAGAAGGTACGCGTCTGGAGGATATGGTCTATTGGAGCGGTGTCTACATGAGTAACTCTACACGGGAGCCCAGCT